ACGTACCAGTCCCTCGGTTTGACTCCGGCAGCGGGTGTTTGATAGTCGGACCCCTAACCTCTGAAGGTATACAAAAAACCTTGTATTAGCTCACGATGAAGAATATTTGGAGAGTCAATCGAGCCTCGTCGTAATTTAACCATACTGAAAGCCAGAATATCAATACGTTATTACGAAAAACAGCCAATCAATCTTTTCTAACCGGTAGTCCCCAACCGCCCGAACTATTTTTTTGTCCGATAAAAATTATCAACCATTGAAAATGGCCTTCACGGCAACATTTCTTTTGCTAACTGCCAAAATCATCGTAACACCTTTCTTGAAAAAATGGTTGCTCCGCTTTCATGTGTGTAGTAATCGTGCAAAACAGACAGACTGAAATGATTCTTGCATCCAGGCCACAGTTCACTGTTAGCTTGCACCTTTAGCAATGTTCAAAACAATTGTTGTGCTGCTACGTTTGGCGATTCTCCATATTAATCCCAATCACATTGTACTCTACTCGCATCGATTACCATATCATTGCATTGATTACCATACAGAAATTGATAAGGCTGAACTTCTAAACTTATCGGAATGGAGTGACCTGACCCACTTGCAACTCGAGCTTCACCATGATGTATCCATTCGTAATAATTTTCCACGAACCCATGTTTGCACAAATGAAGTTTCACTGTATCGATGTCTAATAAGGCTTGATTTCGACACTTCTTGTGATTACATGGACACCTCAACTTATTACCATCCATAAAACTGGGATTACCAACTGCAAACTGTATAAACGCCTCTGCAAACTGTATAAACGCCTCCCATCCTTGCAGGAACTCGTCTTAATATCCCATTGACCTCGAACTTCAAGTACATCCAATCTCGATTATTTTGCATTTTTTTTACCTAATTAACAATGTGTTTATAAAGGTTCGTGTCATGTAATTGCATTAGTCTAAACCATCCTTAAAACATGCACCTAATGTAATGTTCAATTTACAACACTTATAAGTAACTAAGGTTATTTCTATAATAATAAGGGTAACTATATATAAATGTAAAATCACTAAGTTCATTTATTGAATACAAAGACTACTATAATAAAGATAAGTGTACTATTCTACATATTGAATTTTTGGGGAAAAAATTCGGCAGCATTTCGGCACAACACAATCAAATCTCAAATATAAAAACAAATCAATAAACACTTCTATATCATACCAACATTCTCCAAAGGCAATATGGCCACTACTAGGCCTCCAATCCAAACTCATCATTTATTTAAGTCAAAAATATATTTAAGAAAAATAACGACAATAATATAAAATAAAGAAAAATTAAAGAAAACACAGCCAAAACTTCTCAAGAAAAGAGTTGCCAAATAATTTAAGAACATGTAATAACCATGTAATAACCTAAACACACAAAAAATAATTTATATAAATTCCAATTATTCTTCAAAAATCTATATTATATTCTATCAAAGAAGACTTTGAAACTAGAACGAAGTGGTTGCAGACTTTGAAATGGTCTAATAAAGTGGCTATCAAATCAGTTAATTTTGTAATAAATTCGCTTCCGAGTTGATGAGGTAGTTAAAAAAATTCATCCTTCTAACTCGTTCAATTTCTGGTGGTTGTGCAGTTGGTAATTATTTTTATTTAAGATGAGGGGAATGGATGTGATTTCAATTTAATTTTTCTTAGTTATTAATTGATTGTAAATATCTTTATTTTTTATATCTTATTTTTTTAAGAGTGATTAAAGAACCATAGTCCAGAAACACGCTGTTTTTGGATTGTTTGCCTTAGTAAGTTAAGTCTCAATCAATTGCCTATCATTTTTGTTATTTTCTCCAAACGGTAAGATCCATGTGTATATTCTTCAACCTCACTTTTCCCCTATATTAGGCCCAATTTTAAATATAATCTCTTTAAATGGATATTCAAATTTCCAATTACAAAAAAAAAAAAAAATACTATATTCTGTTTCATTAGACCATATATAAACTTTCAAATAATGAAAGGTATGAACGTAGTGCCGGATCTTAGAGATAAAAGGAAAAGGAAAAGGAAAAATGAAGTTTTTGTGGGCTGGGCCTCAAAATGGATCAAGTTAATTATAATAGCTGGGCCATTAAAATCAAATCACTTTTTCTTGGTCTACTGTAAAATATACAGTTATTATATTGATGATGCCTGAATTTTCTTTTTTTTTTTTCTACTTCGATGTACAAATAGAAAATATGTATAATTAAGCGTGAAATAGTATTTTGGTACAATTAAGTGCGTTTAATTGGAAGTTACCACCTGAAAATCAAAATTAGCTAGTTTTTTTTATTAGTTAAAAAAAGATATAACAAGTAAAAAATAATAAAAATTGAATGGATATTTAATATTTTGATATCATTCATTGTGTAAAATGATTTATATTAAATTTTCAGAGAAATAATACGGTCAAATGCACTTGATTCCAATGTTTTCAATAATTCATATCTTTAATTGCTATTTTTCTCTTAATTTTATTCGGCAAACAAACGCATGCTAGTAGATTAATTGCCAGAATTGTCAATCACAATCGCTTAAGGTAACAATAATACTAATAACAATAATATAAAATAATAATACAACAACAATGATACTAATAATAATAATAATATAACAATCACAATAATAATTAAAAACATTAAAATATATTAATAAACAATCAACAATAATACTAATAATACTAATACTATACTAATAATAATAAATAAATAATAAACAAATCACAATATAATAATACATAATAATAATAATAACAATAATAATAACAATCACAATAAATACTAAATAATAAATAATAGTAATCGGTCAATAATATAACTAATAATAATGAATAATAATAATTAATAATAATAATAATAATAATAATAATAATAACACAACAACATTAATAAATTAATATATCATAATAATAATAATATAACAATACATAATAATACATAATATAATATAATAATAAGAACATATAATAATTTAATATAACAATAATAATAATAATCAATAATATAATATAATACATAATAACAACAACAATAATACCAAAAATTATTTAATAATAACAATAATACCTAACAGTAATACCGTACTAATCGCGAAACTCAACCATATTACAAAAACATTAATCGCAACCATGATACAAAATTCTATAACAATATACATAAATCACATAACTTAATATAATAAAAAACAAATAAAACATTCGAAAAACAAAATAAATTCGAAAAAGAAAAATTTGGAAAAATTAATTCGCAAAATAAAACTAACCTCAGATTGTTTTCGAACACAGACCTGACCGACTGACCGGAGTGAAAGGGGGCGGGGTGTCGGCGTCGAGGCGGGCTAGAACCGGTGTTGAGGAAGGGCCTGTGCGGCCGCTGCGGAGACGGAGGAGAGGAGAGGAGAAGGAGAAGAGAGAAGAAGAAAGAAAGAAAAAGAGAGGGCGCGGCGTTCGTTTAAAGCCCTAATATTTGCGACCGACTCATCGGTCGCAAAGTTTATAAAATCGGTCGCAATTTTTAATGACACGACGTCGTTTGACTATGCGCAAATTTTGCGCCCGATTTGCGACTGAAAATATCAGTCGCAAAAAATCAGTCGCAATTTTGTCTCCAATCGGTTCCAGAACTTTGGCCCATTTTTAACGCGCGAAATTTTGCGACCGATAACCAATTAGTCGCAGATCGGTCGCAAATCCCTATTACAGCGGTCGCAAATCACTAACCATAATCGCGGGAATTTTAAGCGCCAAAATTTGCGACCGATGGATTATAAGTTTATAAGTCGCAAATCGGTTGCAAAATTGCGACCCATATATGTCGGTCGCAAAAATCTGTCGCAATTTAGCGTTTTTTTTATAGTGAGACCAGCTTCTACCAAAACCCTGAGAGACTTCTTTTCGAGCTCTATCGGTAACACTGCCTCCATTCCGTATACAAGTTCGAAAGGAGAAGCTCCTAAGAGAAAAAATTATTTAACTAAAAAAAGACTAATTAAATTAGTAATGAATAAAAATTGGAATAATATTATATATTTATTTTCTTTTATTAACTTAATTAGTGAAGTTAATTTCTGACTAAATGGAAAAAAAAGGCAATTCAACTCAATAAATGCTATTTTTAAATAATATAAAAAATAATAATCGTTCAATCAAAAAATAATTTGAATATTATAGAAAAATTCATTTCAATAATTACTCTTTATTTTTCTCCAATTCTGTAAACAAGTCAGTAAAAAAAATAAAGTAACCGGTAATCATTTTTTATAATTTCTAAACAAATAATTTCATATATTTTAATTTAAAGAAAATAAAATAAAAAATTTTAAAATGTATATTTCTAAAACCGTATACAAGTAGTATTTATATATAGTTTGGTTGAGTTAATATGGTTTACATTGGATTATTAAATTTAGAAATTATCTAATATTTGTTTCAAATTTAAAATATAAATGTGAAAATGTTAATTTAAGTTTTATTTTTAAAATTATTAAAAGAATATATAACTTGGAGAGAAAGAAAGAAGGACCCAGAGATAAAGCCCGAAAGAGAGGCACCGAAGCCTATATATAAGTATAACTGCTCAATCAGTGTAAAAGTTTAGTATCTTAATAGCGACTAGGGAAGATTACAAGTGAGATAGCGTAAAGATTGATTAGGGGAGTGAGAGAGAACAATGGCGGCAAGGTCATTGATTCTGCCATCAGGGTTAGCGGAGGCGGCAGAGCTTCCATGTGGGTATCGCTTCGATCCCACTGATGAAGAACTTGTTTTCTATTATCTTAAATCAAAGCTGGAGAAGACGCTGACACTTGATGTGGTGAAGACGCTTGATGGTGATCCAAACACCCTTTATGATGATGATCCCTGGAATATCTTTCACAGCCAGTTAACTGGATTCTTCTACGTTTTCACCAAATTGAAGGGAATGGCCGATAAGAGAAGAGATAGAAGAACGCCCTGAATATCTTTCACAGCCAGTTAACTGGATTCTTCTACGTTTTCACCAAATTGAAGGGAATGGCCGATAAGAGAAGAGATAGAAGAACGCCCTCAGGAACTTGGAGAAACCAAAACAGAAAGCCAGTTCTTGATTCTGACGGTAATATTTTGTATGTGAAAAAACAATTTAGATTTGAAGAAACAGGCAAGAAAAACCAAAACGGCCTTTGGTTAATGACCGAGTTCTCATCCAAATATGAAGGGGTGGGTAAATGTTTTCATTTATAACTCTAATTTTAGGGTTTCGTTTTCTTTTTGTTTATAATTATTTTAGCCCTAATTTCTAAAAAGTTTGTAATGTCAGTTTGATGGAAATACTAATTTTTTAATTCATTGATTTTGCAGCGTAAGGGAGAGTATGTTCTGTGTAGAATCTATAACAAAGATGCACTTGGAAGGAAGAGAGAATATTCTGTCGAGAAAGAAGAAGGAAACGGAAAATCAAAGAAGATGCGACAGGACAATCTTGGCTATGCCTACTGGGAGAATGAGAATTTTGGAGATCCTAATCCTAGCTTAGAGAGACAGGACAATCTTGTTTCAGCCTACTGTGAGAATGAAAATTTTGGAGATCCTAACCCTAGATTAGAGAGAACTCCAGAACATGCAGATAATGATGATTTACTGTTTTGGGATGATATTTTATTCTATGATCAGTGTCCTTAAATTTTGAAGCTGAGAGCTATCCAATACTGCTCCAACTCCAAAACTTCACAAAGTGGGACAATCACTTTTTAACTTCAAACTGTAAGTGTAATTCTCTTTCAAAAAAAAAGTATAATTGAGTTTGAACTCCAACTTGTTATATATATATACATATGGTGGTTCCTGATTTTATGTCTATCTTCAGAATCTTAAACTTGAAATATGGTTCCAATATTTCTTGTCTGTATTAATTCATTGCATTAATTAATCATCTAGCTTAATTTCTATTTAATATTTTATTCCTGCAAAAGAGTTATCTATTTCTCCTACCTCCATGAACAATTAATGAAAGTGGAAAAAATGTAATATGAAGAGGAAGTGGGGAAATTGTTAGAGATAAAGTTTCTAGATCTGCTAAAATTATTCCTTTTGATATTCTAATACTAGTATAAAACTATAAAGTTCACAACTTGTGACTCGTGTATAGACAAACTCACTGAGTACAAAAAATAAAAAATAGGGTTCAGTACTTCAGTACTTCAGTTACAGGACCCACATTATCTTCAACAGAAGCATAAATAACCCTATAAACCCTTCACCTGTCTGTTTCAGTTTTCTCTCCATGAGCCAGAAACAAAGACTGGCAAGGAGAAAACAAAACAATGTCTACAACATCCTTTTCTCTTCTGCAATTTCCAAAAACTTTTGTAATCCCACCTTCTGCAAAATACAAGTTCTTGCACATTCCTTCAACAACCCATAACATCAAAAAGACCATTTTCAGATCAATACTGTCTAAGAACGGTGTTGCAATGTCAGGCTCAAAGGCAGCAACAAGAATATTAAGTTGAAAGGCTGTTTTCTAACCTTAATCAAGCCATAAAGAGAGCCTGGTAGATACTCAATTTTCTTAATTTTCTAAATGTATTGATGTTTATTGCTTAGTTTATTGCAAAATCCCATCAATTAATCCTGTTCTTGCAATTTCTGCTGTTACTATATTGTTTAGCATGTGAAACTGCTGCTGGCCCTAACTATCATATAAACAGTGTGATTTGCAGATTTCTTTGCAAAATCATAACAGAAGGATGAAAGCTCTCTGAATAGTACTTGACAATCCATTACAATTGAACTAAAGCTCTCTCAAGGACACGTTGTTTGTTTAAGCTTAGCAAATTAATACCAAAATAATATATGTAATAAACTCATATAACAAATATTTGTTTTTAGTGTTTTTATAAAGAAAGTATTGCACTATTACTATGTCATTTGAATTAATTTTATTTAAATTTCTATTATTGAAATGTAAGAATATATGTAACACACATAGATATAAATGTCATACTGTGGAAAACGACCATATACTGGACTTTGATTATGCATAGTACTATCATAGCATCAAAATTATATTCAAACAGAAAGCTATTTGCCTTTCATTTGATCCGTCTGAGAAGATGAATAAGTTAATTGCTGAATAGATATTCTCTGCTCTACAAATTACATGAGTCTTATGAACTTTAGGACAATGTAGCCTTAAATGCCAGGACGTGATCCATCCTTGAATTTACTAGTTATGTAAGTCAATCTTGCATATCATGTTCTAAATTGCAATGAACTGAGTTTAAAGGAGCGGGAAACTTTTCCCCCTTGTCTTTTTTTTTTTTTTTTTCTCTCTCTCTGGAGATCTTTGCATTTCCTTAAAATAAAATTAAATACCAATTACTATTCCATAATAACTAACTAACTAACTAATTAGTACTGTTAATTCTTTATGAACTCTGACATAAGATCCTATACTTTCAGCGATTATCCTTTCTGACTCCTGAACTTTGGGAGAGACTCATCATGACCGGTGCTTTCACATTCATTAATAAATATGCTCCTCACCAAAATGAAATATGAAAGTGCAGGGTCATCACTGGACTCTTGTAAAATTATTTTATTTTGGTGAGGGGTAGAGTTATTACTGAAATGTGAAAATAGTTATAATTGAACTTCCACAAAAATAATTGCCAGAGTCCAGGATCAAATTTATGTATTAGCTATTAATAAACTGAATATACATTTCATACAATATTTTATTACATCATGTCAAAAATCATTTAGAAGTATATCTACAAGATCTACATAATACATTATGAATATACATAAATATCTTGAAGTAATTATAGCATCGTAATGTCATCAATAACATTTTTAAATTTTCAGAGTACTTGAGATTTTCTTAAATTTTTCCGTATCTCAAATCTACTTCAACGGTAAGAAAAATTGAAGTCGTTGAATTCTGTATAACACATAATATCAACTTAAGACTATTCCACAAATTTCAAATTCAGGATTAGCCCAAATGCAATTAATTTTTAAATTTGATTTGGAAAAACAACAAAAATCATTTACTTTTCAGAGCTTATATAAACCCTAAATATTACAGATTCTGAAGTATCGTTAGCAAGCATGTGTAGATGTAGAGGTAATTTTAATATTTGACAAGTTAGAAATGCTTTTATTTTGATATAAAAGATAATTTGCTCTCTTTATGTATGTGAATAAGATATCTCTATCTAATACAATGTCAATTCCTATGTTTTCCAAGTCTTGCACAATAGTTATCGTTAGCTTCATAAAGAATATTATAGCTTCTAGGTATAGCACATTAGCAAATATTTGACAAGCCTAAGCATGCTAAATATGAAACTTATAATACTAGTAATATAAAAGATGCTATAATTTATTGGATTATAATAATTTGATGTCCGCAGAAGCAAAAGAAATGGAAAATGGTGATTGAAAAAGGAATTTGTAGTTCAGAGAGTTCATAAACAACAAGCAATGAATATAATGCAAATGGGAGGAATAACGTAACAACGAGTAATACTAATATCATGATGCTCATTGTGGAGGATGATATTGTCACAAGATCAATCCATAAGCTGATGCTCAAAGTCTATGGAATGGAAGTTGAAGTGGCTGTCAATCAGGGGGCGGGGGAACTTGGGGGAGCCCGGTCACCCCAAACTCAAAAAGAATTTTAAAAATTTTATCTATAAACAGTGCAAAGGAATTTTTTTTCCTTTGATTTTGCAAAGGAGATTCAAACCTGGATCTATTGTCAGGTCGTATATGCACTTACCACTAGACTATGCCTCAGTGTGCTACTAAACATGTTTATTATCCAATAATTTTCATTTTTTTTTATTTTAGTTGATTAAGATTTTTTTTTTTTTTTTTTTTTTTTTTTATTATCCAATAATTTTTTTCATTTTTTTTTTATTTTAGTTGATTTAAGAATTTTTTTTTTTTTTTTTTTTTTTTTGAGAAGAGTTGATTAAGATTTATTTGAAGTTTAGATTTAAAATCTTACTGTTATAAAAATTATTCTAATTAATTAGAAAATAAGGGAAATAGAAGTGGAAAATTGGGATTGAGCAAGGAATGTGTATATTAATCTCTCAGTGCTTAATTTCTTAGTGCTTGTGAAAATAATTATTGTATATTAATTTATAGAATCAATGTCATTTATAACATTTTCCATTTTTCTAGAAAACTTAGATTTTTCAGATTTTCTATATCTCAAATTTATTTTAAAAGGTAAAAAAAAAATCTAAGTTATTAGATTCTTAATTCAATTAATTTGAATGATATCTTTTCAAATTTGAAATTGAAAAGGTAAATATAAACTCAAAACATCTTAACTTCTGAAGCACGGTTAGCAATTGTGCATAGAGATAGAGGTAATTTTAGGATTTGAATAGTTAGAAATGTTAATAGTTAGAAATGTTCTAAGTTATTAGATTCTTAATTCAATTAATTTGAATGATATCTTTTCAAATTTGAAATTGAAAAGGTAAATATAAACTCAAAACATCTTAACTTCTGAAGCACGGTTAGCAATTGTGCATAGAGATAGAGGTAATTTTAGGATTTGAATAGTTAGAAATGTTTTTATTTTCATATAGAAGACAATTTGCTTTCTGCAGGTTTTTTTTAGTATTGATCAATATTTTTAATTGTCAAGCTCAAGCATATTCTTATCGGCCTCTCCATTGCTTGTGATGACTCCAATGATATTAGTTGGTGTCCAAATCTCTTAGCTGATGAGTTACACGAAATAAAAATAAAAATGATGCTAGGAAAAAAGAATCTGCAGTTCAAAGAGCTCATCAACAGTGAACAAAGAATACGATGGACATCAGAAGAATAATACTATTCTCTTGTTTGTCATATTCTTTGTTGATGGTTGATGAACTCTTTGAATTGCATATTCCTTTCCCAACCGCCATTTTTATTTTTATTTTCATAACTCATCAGCTAGACATGAACAAACACTATTGATTGTTGGCGTCACCACAAGTAATGAGGAAGCTGAGTTGGAAAATTTCATGGAAACAGACGACGACAAGCAATGACTACGACAATTGGGACTGTATAATTTATTATCTATATGTCTTTAATCTATTTATGCAGATTGCATACCTAAAATTACGAATTTCGATAATATTATATACTTTTTCATAAAAAATAATAAAAATTTGTTAAGAATTTTATTTTTATATGTAAAATATAAATTTAATATATGGTTAGTATGTCTTTTAAAATAACAATTTTCATATTTTTTTAAATATCCAATAAATATTTATTGATTTAATTTTATAAATAAGAATGTCTAATAGAATAATTTTACAAATTAAAGTATAATTAGTAAGTGCAACTATATATATTGAAGTATCAGTAGATCAAAATAACAGTTGAAGGATGCCACAAAATTTTCTCGAAGAAAATAACAGTTGAAGGATGCCACAAAATTTTCTCGAAGAAATTTATGCGAAATAGAAAGCTTACACAAAATTGTTTTCATTCAAAAACTATAGCCAAATATAAGTTTATTTGTTAGATAAGTGCAATTCAATGATTTTTATGATTGATTACTTTATAAACCATGGTGAAAAATTTACACATTAATGCTTATAACTTATTGTGAATGAACGATAAAAAATTTAATGATAATTAGGTAGACTTTTATTTGGCTAATTAACAAACTCAGATTATTATTTTTCATGACAGATCTTTTTCCCTTTCTCTTCTTAATTTCTCTACAGATATTAGCATTTTTAACATTTTTTAAATATGTTATTAATTGGGTAAAATTCATGTTTTTTTCGCTTATCATAATTTGTCCTCGGGAA